CAACGGGATCAAGCCATATACGTAGTTCTGCAAAGTTCGGTACAAGTGTGCTGCAAATGTAAATAAAGAGTGTAAGCAAATAAAAGCTAACGGAAGCGAAAGCACGGAAGGCCCGCCGCGTCAGCATGGATGAGGCCACGGGTCCTCGCTGGGATGTCCGCGGCTCAAGGATCCGCATATGAGGAAGGGCAACAGAGGTGTTCGCCAAGTTGTCCGCCACTTTATTGCCCTCGCGGAAAATATGAGAGATCCTCCACTCAATGCTGCGAAGCTGTAGGCGCAGGTGGTGGAGACAAGGCTGGAGAGTCCAGTGTCCCGTCGAGGAGGAGATGAGAGAGATACTGCTGGCCGAGTCCGTCTCGATCCAGAGAGGGAGGAGGCCGCGGGCAACCGCCAGGTCCACTCCAGATCGAATCGCCTGCAGTTCGGCCAAAGTGTTCGTCGTATTCAAAAGGGGAACTTGGAATGCCACAATTGGGGCGCCGGTGGCATCCCGAATGACGCCCGCGGCTCCAGCGGCGCCTGGATTCCCGAGCGATGCCCCATCAGTGTTGAGTTTGAACCAGCCTGGAGACGGGGCTTCCCAGCGTACCATGACCGGCGGCCGAAGAACCGGAGGCGGGAGGCGAAGGCCGAGAGTGGAGGCTAAGTGCACCTCCCCAGGCCAGTGCTGTCGCTGAAGGAGGCCAGCACGGCCCAACACCTGCAAATGAGAGTGAATACGCCAAATAATCCTGTCAGAGGAAATCTGGATACCTCGGTGTTTGGCGTCATTCCGTGCCGTCCAAAGAAACCAGAAGGCCAGAAGTGGGATATAGGTACGGATGCTCCGCGCATGTGGGGAGGACAGACGCCAAGCAGAGAGACCATCAGGTGGGGCGCATGTGTCCGCGGGGTTCGGATACGGAATAGGTCGGCAAGATGGCGCCACACGCGCTGGGCAACCGCCGACGAGAAGAATAAGTGTGCAAAAGTCTCGGATTCACTGCAGCACTGGCAGCGAGAGAAACAATAGGGAGACCAGCCTCCAAAGGGCCTCGTCAACAGGTATCCGACGGCGAAATAAACGCCATAGGAATACCGACATCGTAGGCGTAAGTAGTGGCGACCAGAGGCAGCAGGAAAGCCAACTCCGAGCCCCGGCTGTCCGGCTCATCTCCCAGGCTGAGTAGTAGTAGTAAAAGTACCTGTGTCCGAAGCCTTCCATATCGGCTGATCCGCTATCAGGGGGTCAAACGGGATCGCAGAGACCCGCTGAACAAGGGATGCCGGAAGGTAGGCCTGAAGGCGCGTCAAATCCCACGACCCGTTAACCCACATCTCTTTCACCCGAATCGGCGGAGGGCGGTCCCGGCGGTCAGTGCAGAGAGGGCGATCGCCGCACCAAGTATCATACCAGAAGAAACAGTCCCCACGCCCCAAGTTCCAAGTGATCTGCGTCTGTGCCTCATCGCGGATCTGGCAAAGACGTTTCCAGACCGGGCTGTCGTAGTTCCGGCAGGGGGCGATACCCGGGAAGGAGCTGCGGAAATATTTATGCTGAGCGGCGCGAGCCCAAAGAGAGGAACCATCTCTGAGACGCCACCACAATTTAAGCGAGAAGGCGCGAACCATGTCGGACAGGCGGCGAATACCAGCCCGCCCTCGTCCTGGGGCCTCGCCGCATCCATCCAGGAAATCCAATGGCGGCGACGGTGGCCATGATAGGAGCCCCAGAAGAAACGAGCACAGAGCTGCTCCACTGAGTGTAGGACAGCCTGGGGGGGTTAAGGACCTGTAGGAGGTAAAGGGAAGCGAGAAGAGCGTGCTTCTGATCAGTTGCAAGCGACCTCCGTGAGAGAGAACGGAGCGGTCCCAACGCTGCAGATATCGCCGCCGCAGTTTCCCAAGTAGGTCTTCGTAGAGGATATTACGCCGATTGCCCACATAGAGCGGGGCGCCGAGGTACGTAAGGGGAAGTCCAACCCTGCCGAAACCAGTGACGGACTGAAGCTGTCGCTGGACCCTCTCCGGGCATCGGCGGCTAAATACCAGCTGACTTTTCCGACAGTTCACCATCTGGCCAGTAGTTCGCGCATACGTCGTCAGAAAATCCGTCAAGAGGCTGATTCGATCACCACGGGTATTGGCAAAGATGAGAACATCATCCGCATAGGCTAGGTGCGTCAATCGGAACCGACCACGACACCGATAGTACAGGTCCGGGTACCGATTGTATAGGCGCTCCAAGCCGCGAGATAAGAGATCTGCAGCCAAAACAAAGAGAGTCGGGGGACAGGGGGTCTCCCTGCCTGAGGCCTCGCGAGGAGGGAAGAAGAAACCGCCCAAGTCCCCATTCACAAGAATCGAGTACCAAGCATGCTCGACACAATTCATAATCAAGGTGATAAAATGAGGCGGGAAACCGAACCTGGTAAGGGCATGTCGCAAGAACCGCCACGATACCCGATCGTATGCCTTATTCAAATCCAGTTTCAGCAGCAAATTGTGCGAGTCCCCCCTCAAATTGAGATCATGTACCATTTCCGATGCCAGCAAAATATTGTCTGCAATTGCCCGACCTTTGACAAAACCACTCTGGTGTGGCGACAGAAGCTGCGGCAGGTAGCGGACCAAGTCGCACAGTGAGTAACTTCGTGAAGATCTTAGAACTCACATTACAGAGGCTGATAGGCCGAAAATCAGCCCAAGCGACTGGCCCGTCCGTCTTGGGGATAAGCACAAGTGTCGTTGCCGTATAGAACTTCAGAAGAGGAGCTCCCGAGAAGAAATCCAGAACAGCATCGAAAACATCCTCGTGAATAATATCCCAACACGTTTGATAGAAAGCGGCGGAAAAGCCATCAGGGCCAGCCACACTGTCCTTGTCAATCGAGAAAACCACAGCACGAACCTCCGCAAGTGTTGGTGGTTCCAGCAACCGAGCACATTCAGCCAAAGGAACCTGAGGCGGAGGGGTCCGCCAGTGCATCCATCCCCGAGGTGTCTGCATCGTCAGGCTGACCAAACATCTCGGAGAAGTAGGTAGTAATAGCTGACTGCTTAATGGCTGAGTGATCAGTGAGGGTACGAGCACCGTCCCTCATCGAGAAAAGCGTAGCCCGCCGACGCCGTTCCTTCACCATGGAGTGGAACATTCTGGAGTTTCGCTCTCCCTACTGCCCAACGACATGCTGCTTTTTGTTTCCAGAAGGCCTCCTCAAGAGAAATCGCATGTGTCAAGGCTGCTGCGCTCCGTTGACGACGGAGGAGGTTGGCGTCAGAGGGATCCCGATCGAAATCCGCTTCGCACTCCTCAGCATCTTTCTCTGCTGCTGCAAGTACCTGAAACACATTACCAAGACCTGTTTGTTCCACCACTTCAGAGCCTGCTTGAGGCGTCCGAGTTTCAATCGCGTTGAGGAGACCGGTGGTGCCCGTCGGGACAGCCCAACTCTGGCGGACGTGGTCCTGAAAAGAGTGGTGTCTAGTCCACATGTTCTGAAACCGGAATGCAGAGGCTAGGCGGTGCCGTTCATGCGAGAAACGGACCAAGAGCGGGGCGTGGTCCGAATGCATCCGCGGTGGTAAGTGCCTGACTCGAGTTGTCTCCGCAAAATCCTCCCAGGCAGAGCTGTTGTAAAGAATGCGATCAAGGCGCTCCCAAACCCGCCGATTGGTCCATGTGTGCGGGGGGCCCTCGAAACCAGCATCAATGAGGTTCGCATCGAGGATTGCGGTCGAGAAATCTGAATAGAGCGCAATTTAGGCCGACCCGGGCCCTTCCGTTCAGATATATCGGCGATGGCATTAAAATCACCGCCAATCAGCAGGGGATCCCAGTGACAAATCGCGGTGTCATGTAAGAAAGACCAAAGCTCGCGGCGCTGGGTGATAGAACACCTCGCATAATGCCAGATAAAAGAAAAGGCCGGCGAATCTGTGGAGATGATATGCACATGAAGACATGATCGATCTCCGATATAGGCGCCAGTGTATAAGAATCATCAGCAAGAATCCAGATAGAATACCCGGACCTGTTACTATCGTGTCGTGGTCGGTTCCGATTGACGCACCTAGCCTATGCGGATGATGTCCATCTTTGCAATACACCCGTGGTGATCGAATCAGCCTCTTGACGGATTTTCTGAGACGTATGCGCGAACTACTGGCCAGATGGTGAACTGTCAGAAAAGTCAGCTGGTATTTAGCCGCCGATGCCCGGAGAGGGTCCAGCGACAGCTTCAGTCCGTCACTGGTTTCGGCAGGGTTGGACTTCCCCTTACGTACCTCGGCGCCCGCTCTATGTGGGCAATCGGGTAATATCCTCTACGAAGACTACTTGGGAAACTGCGGCGATATCTGCAGCGTTGGGGACCGCTCCGTTCTCTCTCACGGAGGTCGCTTGCAACTGATCAGAAGCACGCTCTTCTCGCTTCCCCTTTACTCCTACAGGTCCTTAACCCCCCCCAGGCTGTCCTACACTCAGTGGAGCAGCTCTGTGGCTCGTTTCTTCTGGGGCTCCTATCATGGCCACCGTCGCCGCCATTGGATTTCCTGGATGGATGCGGCGAGGCCCCAGGACGAGGGCGGGCTTGGTATTCGCCGCCTGTCCGACATGGTTCGCGCCTTCTCGCTTAAATTGTGGTGGCGTCTCAGAGATGGTTCCCTCTTTGGGCTCGCGCGCTCCAGCATAAATATTTCCGCAGCTCCTTCCCGGGTATCGCCCCCTGCCGGAACTACGACAGCCCGGTCTGGAAACGTCTTTGCCAGATCCGCGATGAGGCACAGACGCAGATCAATTGGAACTTGGGGCGTGGGGACTGTTTCTTCTGGTATGATACTGGGCGGCGATCGCCCTCTCTGCACTGACCGCCGGGACCCGCCCTCCGCCGATTCGGGTTGAAAGAGATGTGGTTAACGGGTCGTGGGATTTGACGCGCCTTCAGGCCTAACCTTCCGGCATCCCTGTCAGCGGGTCTCTGCGATCCCGTTTGACCCCTGATAGCGGATCAGCCGAT